TAACCAGAACTTGGCCAGAGTTCGTGGCTGGAGATCCTGGCTAGGCTGCTGATCAACTGAAGGCTGTCTCCGTGTCATTCCTTCTTCGCCGACTCTGTCCACACCTTTGGGGACCCCTGGACCTGCTGGGGTTGGACCCCAACATTTGACATCTTAACAATGCTGTCTTTCAATCATGAATGCAGGATAATCTTTCATTTATGTATCTCTTCTTAATTTCTTTCAACAATGTTTTGTGTTTTCAGTATGCAAGTTTTTTACCTTCTTAGTTAGATTTATTTGTATTTTATTTGTCCTAAATTCTGGTGTCATTTGTAGGTTGCTGCCTGAGTATGTACCTCATGGTCTTTGTGAACAGCTTGGATTTGTTCATGTGGTTGTTAAAGGATAGTCTTAGAAAGTACTTGAGCTCCTGAGAAAACCTGGCTTATTATCTCAGATTTGGAGAACAGTTTTGTTTATTGGTTGAATCTCTTGAAAATGATTGATTGCTTGTACTCAGGGGTTATGTATTATACAGGGTGGGGCAAAAGTAGGTTTACAGTAAGTATGCAAAAATTTATTCTTGTATTATTTCTTCACTATATTATTCTTCATATGAACAACTGTAAACCTACTTTGCCCTACCCGTATGTGTATTGCACATAAATACTGCTCTCTCTGGGGTTCACAGAGGAGTGCTACTGGTAGGTTGCTATGCATGAATGCGCAGGTCTGAGCGAGGTGGGGAGTGAGAGAGAGAGGAAGACAGAATCACAGACTGACTGAAAGGCTGCGCTTTGTATGGCATCACACAGCTGCATGTACTGTGTGATTTTCGCTCTTTAGAATAAACTTGCTCATTGCCGCGCCAGTATAAGTTTAAAAAGATGTGTGTTCTGTCAAGTAAAATCTTCATTTATTGTGTTGCGTGTCTTTGGGGAAGTTGGATGTTGGAGCTTCATATTTTGGGGCTCTAATTTGAAGTCCTCTTTGGACATCTATGGACAGATATGAAGGATAACTGACTTTCAACGCCCACAAATTGTTGTATGATGTTTGTCCTCAAGAGGGAATTTGTCTAATAGAAGCTTATTAAACAGGGGAAGAAGTAAGAGGAGATTGTAACACAGGTGCAAAAATAAAAGAGTTTTAAGTTGAATAGGATTCTGTTCCCTGGTTTGCCAATGTGATTGCATTCTCCTGGCCAGTTGAGTGACATGATTATCTGGGTTACTGGGTGATTGATTCCTCTTAACATGATCTTGGGTATCTCTTTTCAAGGGGTTGTCCTCATTAGCTTCTTGCTTCCTTTTCCCAGATAAACATTAGAGGGTGATGATTAGACTTATTGAAGGTCAGGCAACATCAGGAGCTTAGTTTTAGAAACTGTACTCTTGTGACATATGATGTTCTCTAGTATAACAAAAACTTATATAATTATTTATGGAAAAATCCTGACTGTATGGACTTTGAAAGGTTATGAGGGTTTTTTGGGGAAGAATTTATCTTACTCTTTTTCCATAATTTTTCTCCTTTCAATAAAACCTTGGCAGTTCTTTTTGTGTCCTTTGTGAAAGGCCACTTGCCCCTAAAGCACACTGGAAGAGTGATGTGCGAACACGCTGCTCTCTGTGAAACTCATGAGAGGGGGCACTATACTGCTAGCACGCACAGCTTGCACTTAAAGTGTAGTACTGCCTCGGGTCCTGAGTCTAAAAGGGCACAATTGAAATCCCAGCGGAGTTCTGAAATAGGCTGTGAGGGAGAGTCCTCAGCACTGGAGAATTCTTCACTGGTATTATTTTCTGCACTCACATTTGTAGATATTTGGTTACGTGTATACCTTCTTGTGACATTTTTGCAAACCTTGTGTCTCTATCTGCAATAAGAGACCTCAGAAATTGAGATTATGACAAGGGGTGCAGAGAAATGAGACAAAATATTTTTGTTTGATCCAAAGGTATTGGATCAAACAAAAATATTGGATATGTCTGATTAGTTGTTCTTTTCCATGGTGAATATTAGATTCATTGTAACAGATTTAGTTAAATGTCCAGATAGATTCCCTACCCTATAGTAGTCAGTGACAAATATTGTGATTGTTTTATTACTTGAATCTTTAATCCTTTTCTGTTATGCTTCTTAAGTTTATCAGTGTTTTCTGGTCTGTAAATATGCTGGAATTCTTTAGTAATACTGTAAATAGAAGCTGCATTAGAATACAAGGTTCTCCCCACTCCTGGTTCAAGTTTTGTTTTTAAATTAATTAATTTGGTAATACATGGTGTGGACAATATAATTAGATGGCTCCATTGTAGTGTAGATTCTGATTCTCTGGCTGTCACTAGAGTTTTGGAATCAATGTTAAATAAACTTCTATTTTGCTAAGTACAAATAACATTAAGTTTGTGGGAATAATAACTATGCAGAGGTTGTAGATTTTAAGGTACTCTTAACTGTTTCCTTTTTTCATTTTAGAACAGGAAGATAATAACATGAAATTACCAGATATACCCTCAGTAATAAACCACTTCCCTCAGCCAAAGCAGGACTCCCCAGGGATATGCGAGCCCGATGGACCTGATGATTCTTCCAGCTGTACTGATATTCAAGAAGACGCTCTTTCTTCATCCGAATCAGATTCATTCAATAGGTAAGAAACTCATAGTCGTTATTTTAACTGTCTTATTTCCTGTGCATGCTAAGATAGCACACATAATTAGAAAATAACTCTGAGGCATAATGCAGTTCCTCAGTCACCTTTACTGCGTGGTAACTTTCACAGTGACATTGGGCCGTGCGTGGGAGAGTGTGTGCAGCAACCCTAGGGAGGCTTTGTTTTCTACTTTGTAGCCTTTATAACCCTATTTTCCTGGAGTTGGATAAGAGAGTATGATAGGCAATGAAATTTTTGTCAAGACAATGAGTGAAGGAGGTAAAGATAACTACACTAGAAAATAGTGATGACCAGAAAGACAGTGCACAGAGTGAAACAAAAAAAGAATTGTTCCCAAGAGGACAAATTGAGCAAGTAGAATCAATGGGGAAACTTTAAAAATGAGAGATTTGGAGGTAAGTCATTTTCCAAATGATTTCTTAAATGCTATTTTAGCCCTAGCCGATTTGGCTCACTGGATAGAGCATCGCCCTGAGGACCAAAGGGTCTCAGGTTTGATTCCGGCAAAGGGCATGTAACTTTTGGTTGCAGGCTCCTCCCTGGCCTGGGCCCTGGTTGGAGGGTGTGCAGGAGGCAACCAATTGATGTGTTTCTCTCACATCGATGTTTCTTCTGTCTTTCATTTCTTAAATGCTATTTTAGCCCTAGCCGATTTGGCTCACTGGATAGAGCATCGCCCTGAGGACCAAAGGGTCTCAGGTTTGATTCCGGCAAAGGGCATGTAACTTTTGGTTGCAGGCTCCTCCCTGGCCTGGGCCCTGGTTGGAGGGTGTGCAGGAGGCAACCAATTGATGTGTTTCTCTCACATCGATGTTTCTCTCTGTCTTTCCCTCTCTTCCACTCTCTTTAAAAATCAATGGGAAAATATCCTCAGGTGAGGATAAAAAAAAAAGCTATTTTAAAAAGATGAATTTGTTGTTCCACTTATTTATGCATTTAGTGGTTGAATTTTTTTTGTTGTTGTTGAAAATGTTACATATGTCCCCCTTTTTTCTCCCATTGACCCCTTACAGCCCACCTCCACCCCTGCCCCTGGCTTTCACTGCCCTATTGTTTGTGTCCATGGGTTATGCATGTAAAAGATGAATTTTTAAAGGAGGACAGAGGTTAATGTGTGTGTGTACACACCATTTTATGTTCTGGCGTTTCACTTTGTATGATAAATACTATTTATGTTTCTACCTCACTTTATATATACTTTTTTTTCCCCAATGGATGCAATGTTCTGTTGTGTTTCTGTACCATAATTGACCAAACTCTTCAAATGTAGTTGGATATCTACATTTTCCCCAATGTTCTACTTATATACCCACTGCTGTGGTAAAGCTCTCCCTAGGTAATTTTTTATATTTGTTTAATATTTAAAAATTATTAATATTTAAATATTAAAAAATTTAATATTTAAAAGTGCTCTAGAAAAGCGATTTTCAACCTTTTCCATCTCATGTTACATATGAGATGTGATGTGTTTTATAATCAATAAGACAGGTATAATCTCAACTACAGTCCATGTGTCAAGTAGTTGCTCTCAGCGGGTTGTTGTGATGTACTTGCCTGTGTGTGTGCATCATGGCTCTCCTCATTTAATTTGAGTTACATGTATTGTTAGCATTACATTAATTTTTCATTTAAAATGTCTTCAACAAAATAATGAAACAAAAAAGTTACAGTGTATGAAAGTCACAGACAGTGCAGCAGGGCATAAATTTGATGTTAGCAAGGTAATATTCATCATTGGATGAATGACCACAATTCCATAGTTTCTTAGAAAACAATCAAGGAATTTATAAGAAAGAAAGATACCCAGGAGTAGATTTTTGAAATGCAGCATCTGAATATTAAGTCCCTGATTCACTTCGAACATAATTTTATCCCCTAGTTAAAAGTTCCTGAAGTAGGTTATAATACTGGTTGGTGCCAACCCAGCAGAAGTCTGTCACAAAGTATAGTCATGTTAGTGCCAGTGTTATTTAGTGATTCTAAAATCTAGTCAAAAGAGGTACCCACTTGATTACAGTAATTAACATAGAAATCAGAAAGAGAATTCAAAGTGAAAAGGGACTCATCAGAACCAAATGCTGTTAGTCAAATCAGCATATCAGAGATAAGTTATCTTTATCTGGTCCATCTTATTAATAATATTTATGCATGCAACGGCAGGGAGATGGGCACTACATTTAGTGGTTTTGTTGAGATCTTTTCCAACTCTAAAATTGGTTGAGAGTATAACGTGTGTGTGAGTATGTACTCTCTACCATACTCACATAGTATATACCACACACATATATATACAGAGAAAGAGAGAGAGTGAAAATCTGGGGGAATGATGAGTCATTTTTTTGTAGAATTGACATTAAAATTTTAAAAAATATTAGAGAGGCATTGTCCATAATCAAAGGAATTTGTTTATACTAGGAGATTTTCTAAAAGAAAGATTTATACTTATGATTTATTGACCAAAAAGGTGGTAGCCAGAGGTGTACATGGTGTGGTGAATATGGGTCTCATTTATTTCAGTCAGTTAGTTTAGGATCAACACAGTTATCTCTGCTGTGGTGTGTTAGAGAACATGGCCTCATGAAGTGAAATCACAAAGAATAGATAATTCCACTGCTTGGTAACCATGACCCTTCTTGCAGATGCCAAGTGTTGGTCATAAAAGAACCTGAGCCAGGTAAGGTGTGAATGAATGCATTTTGGCTCTTCACAATTCCTGGCATAAACCATCACCTCTTCTCTGATGCTAAGTTAGTAGCAGCAACTTTGTGTAGGAAGTCCAACATGGGGGCAGGCACAGAACACCAGACACTTTGACAGAAAGGCGAATTAACCATTGGTGATGTGTTTGATATATTTTGGTACAATCTTTTCTTCACTTTTAGTATTTTTGGAAGCACTCTCTGTCCAGAATTCTTAAGAGCAAGAGAGCAAAAAACAGAAACATGTGAAGAAATCTTATTACTATATGTTGGAAAATTTAAGTAGTTAAATTTTAGCCTTTCCTAAGTTGTGAGCAAATTGAAGAATGATGTGGAAATCTTAAGAGAAAAAGTGCCATTGTTACATTCATTCTCAACCTGTGGGTCGCGACCCCTTTGAGGGTCGAACGACCCTTTCACAGGGGTCGCCTAAGACCATCGGAAAACACATATATAATTACATATTGCTTTTGTGATTAATCACTATGCTTTAATTATGTTCAATTTGTAACAATGAAAATACATCCTGCATATCAGATATTTACATTACGATTCATAACAGTAGCAAAATTACAGTTATGAAGTAGCAACGAAAATAATTTTATGATTGGGGGTCACCACAACATGAGGAACTGTATTAAAGGGTTGCGGCATTAGGAAGGTTGAGAACCACTGATCTAAGGACTATTGAGGCACTGGTACTACCAGCCTACTAAGACCAAGCTGAATTTCTCGATTACTGAAAGAACGGGAAACACTATCTTTATCATCAGAGTAGCCTCTGAGAGCCAGAGGGCAAAGTTGAGATGTGTTGCAGTTTTGAAGTTTGGTTTCAGACAGGTCTTTTAGAGCAAGTCTTGGTTAGGATTGGGTAAGCCTAGTAGTTCAGAATTGGTGGATACAGCAAGATGAGGATTTTGAGATGAGGGGTTCAAAAGGTCCTGTGGGTATGTCCTTTGATGCTTTCTCTTGAGAAGCTGATGGATCTTTCAGGAAGCTTTTGTCTTAACAGTTATCTTCCTGACAAGAGTGTCTTGGATTAATAGTTATATTGATGAAACAGTGGATGGTAAAGTCTTCTATTGTAGACAGGATGGTGTGTGTTTTCTACAAACGCTATTGGAGTGCTAAAAGTGCTACATGTATTATGTCATTCAGTCCACAGGCAAACCCCACTTTAGAAAGGTAGAAATAAAAGGCCAAAGGAGTTGAATAAGTTGCATAGTATATGTCAATACAAGGATTTGAACCCAGGTCTAGTTCTATTTTGAACCTCAGAGCCCAAGTTTGTTCTCCTGACTGATAATGATGCTATGGCCAACCTGCCTTGCTCTTAACATTCTTGAAAGAGTAGAAATATACAGTTCTTGAAATGGTTTGGTTTCCTTAGAAGCAGACCTGAGACAAGGATTGAGTGGATATGGTTAATTTGGAAGGTGAGGGAACCACTATAGGGTGTGGGGATGTGAGACAGGAAAAGGAAGATAGCATTTAAGGGGGCCATGTTTTTAAACCAGATGTCACTGTGAGCAACTGGAGTTTAATTCTCTTGGGAACTGGGAGCTGGTTTAAAACACACCTGAATTACCCCACGCAAGGGTCAAGGGGCAAAGGAGTCAGTTATTTGATTGGGGCTGCCCTCTGCTGCGTCGAGCCTCCCCTGCTGGCAACAGAGCCGACTAGCAGCGAGAGGACAGCTCAGACAAAGGCACGGACAGTTGGAAGTCAGACCTGCTACACTGAGGGGTAAGGACTCGGGGATAGGAGCAGGGCACCCAAAGGATCTGCCACGGCAGTGATTCCAGCTGAAGATGGGGAAATGGTTTGGGTTTGCATATGCTTTATGAATACAAATGGGTTGCTGTAGGCTTTTGCCTGTATCTCTAGCCCAAGACAATGCAGGAATGTATGCGGGCATTCCAGAGCTCATTGCACCTCTGTGCCTGCCAGGAAGGGAAAAGCTATGTCTAGGGCTGATGACGAAGTGATAGCTGAGCAAATGTCAGGGATGGGGCAGAGGAGAAAAGGACAGATTATCCAGAAAGCTCTGAGGCAAATGGCTCCAAAAACCGATGGAAGGAAATGTGCTTGTTGATGAGAAACAATTTAGTTTTAAGCCTTGTGTGACGACAAACCAAAGTGTGAAATAATTCATCATCAAACTGAAGTTTATCGACACACTAAATGAAAATATCTTGGCCTTGGGCAGAAAATCACAAGCATAGAACTACCCATAGTTCTTTGGTTGTCAGTAATGTATTTTTATTATCCTGCTTT